TAAAGCTCATCTAAGAACTGAAAAGAGGAAAAAGAAAGATATACTAATATTTGAAGTTATGATCAGTTATGAAAGGATTTATTTAGTGTAAGACCTGACAATAAAAATAGAGGTAAAAAGATGAAATTCATAAATAGCCTCAGTACCAGGAAAACAACTTCATAATGAAATGTACTAATTTTTGAAATAGTTTTGGGTAGGAAAAAAAAATGATGGGCACTCTTTCATTTGAGTTTTTTAAGGCTGGATTGGACAAAATACAGCAAATGCACTCTATAGATCAGTACGTATTTTCTATCTTTAACTTCTCCTGTTGTGTATTATCCCTTTCTTAAAGAAATAAACACACAATCCTAACTGCAGCTTTCATGTCTAGGAGGCAGAGGAGTTGTTTTGTGAGCTGGGTTCTCACCATTCAGTGTCTGCTAGTGGCAGAACCCACATATCACACTACTCTTTATTTCTATTTGTGCTGGAGAAAACCTACATATGGAGATAATCGCACACTATCACTCTCCTAGGAGAATCAGCATCTGACTAAGCTATGTGTAGCGCTATTACAGCCCTCCCTTAAAGCACTTAATTGCATATCATGCAGAAAATGGATATTTTCTACCATTTTTTCAATTTAAATTGAAAATCATGTGCTTCAGTGAATATATAGTCATTCAATATATAGTGAATATATATTCATTCAACAATGAATACAAACCAGTCTGTTTTATTCAGATGTATGAGAAGACAAGATTGTTTCAATATAACAATTAAGCTCTTGAACAAACTCCTTTTTCCCCATTTTCTACCCAACAGTTTTTATTTATCATGATTTTGTTGTAGTGCCAAGTCATAATATTTTTCATTTGAAATACTAACTCTGTATTTCCAGATTGAAGAGTTTCATGACCCTTTAGAAAGCCTCTTTCATATAGACACAAATATTTTACAGGATCTATTTACATCTCAATTTGTGGATATTAATATAAGCACGACACAATTAAGGCATGAAATGGACTCAAGGATTAGATTAGGATGTGTCGGTTCTGTAATGTTCAATCCTTAACAGATCATCTCCTAGATTTTCTGCCCTTCACTTGACCTAGCAGGCTATCTGCCACCGCTCTCAGTGGGAGTAGGATCTGTGCCTAGTTTTGAAAGTTTTACTTTAATAATTAGTTAAAAAGCTAAAAGTGTCCCGGTTCACCTGAAAGTATACAAGTCTTCCCAGACAAGCAGGGATGCAGCCTTTGCTTCAATGACTTAGGGGCTGACAGTTCAGGCTTAGAGTTGTGCACGCGTTGTATTGCTAAAACCAGCAGTTCAAAACCAATGAGGCTTCAGAACAATGATAGTTTGTTTTGCTGCCAAGCTGTTGCCAGCTTACATTTTGGCACAATTTTTTGTCTACATTTTTGTATTGTTGTATTCTATTGCTGACCAATTAAAAAAATAGAGACTATTCCTCACTCTGACACAAATCTCAATCTCTATAACTGTCTATAGCTCTTTTTTTAAAATAAAGCAGGCAAATGAATGAACAGTTGCAAAGACACATTAATACTTTTCCACACAGCAGTTTCCCAAGTTCCTCGGTCTGTTCATCCATAGAGTTGAACATAATGTTCAGTGATTTATTTCCCACATCAGTATAATGGTGGAGGAGGCACACAGCTTCTGTGACAGAGCGAGGACAAGAGGACCCTGGCGTGGGAAAGGGGTGGTAGGAAGTTAGACTCATGCTGCAGCAAAGGGGTGAAATTATGGTGACGAGGAAGCTGTCAAGGAGGAAAGCATGAGGGTGTTGAGGAGGAGAGGTGAGGAGACAGGAGACACCTCACTTGTGGTGTGAGGGATGGTGGGGAAGGAGAGGAGCACAACTGTTTTAGCAGGGCTGCATTTAGGAGCTGAATCTGGGTCACAGTAGGGGCTTTAACTCATATATCTGTCTGGTGGGCTTAGCTGTGGCCTCTGGCTGCCCTCCTCTGCCAAGGCTTCACAGACTCCTAGGATAACTCAGGTTGGAAGGGACCTCAGGAGGTCCTTAACCCAACCTCCTGCTCACAGCAGGGTCAGCTTGGAGGCTACTGGGCAGAGAGGAGATTGTGAGAGCAATGTGTTAGCCATCTAGCATATGGTCTTAAACTGCTTTTTCTGGAGAAGTTAATGTCTTAAGCAGCTAGACGCACCTGAGACTGTGGGCCAGCACCCAGAAGAGTTAAGGAAGAGGGGCAGAACAGCTGAGAGAGCTGTGCATTTCTCACCGGACTCCTGGGGTGCATGTTAGTGCCTGCCTTTTGTATGGTGGCTGGGGAAAACTGCAAAGCCAGAAGGCAGCAAAATGGGCAAAGGAGCTCCTAGGGCTCACAGGCTCCCTTCATACCCCTCCTCTTCTGGCCCAACATTTTCAGTGAGCCACTGTCTGCTTCAATACAGTCTGCCCTTGGTTTCTTTGATCTAACCTGGCTCATACCCACCCTGCAAATTGAAGAACATAGAAGATTATTTAAACGTCAAAATTAGGGAGCTTAAAACCCAGAAAATTATGAAAATAAAAATAAAATTTAAATATTGTGTTAGGCAGTCTGTAATAATAAGGTGGCTGTGCTGCCGTAACTTGCTTAAAATTCATCTCTGGAGGTAATAATCAGTTTGCCAGGCTGCTCATCAGCCATATATGTCCTCTACCATCTCATCAGTTCTATGTAACTCTTCTCTGCTTCTTTGCTTACATTTACCCCATTTGCTTTTCTTCTTCACTTGAATGCATATGAAGTGTTGGTGGCTTATCCACAGAGACAGTTGTATTTTGTGCCCAGAGTCTCTCCTGGGTCTTGCTCTCTTCACCTTCATGTTGCACCTCCCCTCCTACTTCAGTTTTTCCTCCAATCTCAGATGGTCTAATATATATGCTTAAAACCTCTCCTATTTTTAGATTCCTCTACATATTACACAGCATAAAGAACATTAATTATACATACATTCTGTTAAGCTCACAATCTCTTGTGCATTACCAGCTATCTCTGAAGAAAGAGCTTGCTGCATTTGAATGCATTATTAAAGTGGATGCTGAGTGACAAGTTTCATTATCTGGATGCATTCTTGTGCCTCTCTATGCCCACTGCCAGCCTCAGAGATTGTGATCCCCCTAAGCTGCCAACTCCAGAGAAGCAGGCAGTGGAATTTTGGGCATAACTCGCCTTACCCCAAATTGGATGCCAACAATGGAATTGAACCCTAAATTGCATTTACTAGATGTCCACTGAATGCAGAGAGCCCAGACAAGGGGGTACTAAAAAAAAATAAATCACTGAGGCAACAGTTCATTAAGCAACAGGTCTTTGCTGTCGTGGTGATTGCCTAGGTGGGTGGGCTGAGGTGGGGTTTGGGAGAGCTATGACAGCGGGGAGACACAGCAGTAATTAATTCCTGCACTATCTTGGGTTACTGCTGCTTCTTTCCTGTTTTTTGTCCTCACTCTTTTCTAAACCTAGGTAGCTCTGCTATTACCAGTGTTGCCTGGATACCAGTGTCTTTTCTCCAGCAAAGTTGTGACAGAAACACTGAATAAAGAAAACCATGTCAGGCAGCTTACTTTCAGTGAGGCATTTTCAGTTGAAGATTCTTTTATTGCACTTACTTGTTTGCACAGTTCTCCACCACTCTTCATACAGTTTAAATTCATGACTTAACGCTATATCTGATTTTCTACTGACTGTATAACACAGACATGATGCTGAATTCCAGTTCTTTGTTTACCTCTTGGTATGAACCTCTCTAGATTTATCTAGAGTACATCTGCTAGCTAACCACAAATTAATTTTTCCACCAGAACAATAGAGATAATGAGGCAAATATGGTTGCAAAAAGGTTGAACCATTATTTCAAGAATAAACCAAGAATTTCATGCTGTAGGCAGGAACAGAGTTTTGTTACAGGACCCCATGATTTAGGTTCAATGTGTCCCTTCACTGTCTCTCCTGGGCAGAGTCTTTCTTTGAGGTTTCTAAAGAAATCGCACATTACCAGTGCACCTCTCCCAAAGGCCTTTCCCCGTCTCTTTTACAGAGGAGCTATTCAGCCTCTTTTGCATTTCCTTAGAGGCAGATGCTCTAGTGTTGTGTGCTGGAGTAGAGCCATCTGTCCCAGGTGGCCAACAGTCTCACCCATCTTAAGTCCAAACCCCTCCTTCCCTCTCTAGCACATGTCCATACTGAGCTGCTTACCAGAAATCCTGGCCTGATCACTACTGCTGCTCACTCACCCACTCCTGCCCTTCCAGGAGAGGCAGGGCTAGGAGCTAGCGCAGGGGAGATGCGAAAGCTGGACAAG